ACGCATTATTCTTATCATTCTTTATGAGTGCAGTAACGGTAAGGTATCTAATTACTTATTTATTTAGTATTCCATAACTTAGTAACAGAGATGGTCAAACTAAAGTGGTAGAGACATGGCAGAAATCCTACAATGAAGCGGGACATTGAACTGTTCACCCGTGAGAGTGTGATCAAGAAAAGAGAGCGAGCGGCCCCGTTGAGGGAGTTCACAGAGGAAAAGACACAGAAAGACAGAAGCACAATATCAACAAGTAGGCGCTATATTTAGGTGTTTTTTTGTAAATAACTGACAATATCAAGAGGAAGTAAAGTCCCCTGGTTTGTCCCTTATACCCTAACTGCCATGAGACAACTCAAAATCATGTTCCAAAATCCGACACTGAGGTGGTCTTGGCCCCCGAGCCTGTTTTTCAGGTCTCAGGCTCGAAAATGACATTCCCAGAACAAATGACCATCTCTTCCCTTATAAAAGGGGTTACATTAATAATCTTTTTTCTCAAAGCAAGGTTACACATGTGAGCTGGATGTAGAAGTGTCAGAATCAATATAGATGTTTTATTTTAAAGTAAATTCAGATTGAACACAGTAAAACATGTAAATTATTGTGTCCGTCCAAAATGTGTTTTACTTATAGTGAAAACCACCCTTGAATGATGGAATGGGAAATGGGATGGGAACAGCTTTGGGGAATCCAAACTACAACATATAATAAGTACCTGGTATCAAGATTGATGCAAAACAAGTAAATTTGACCTTTTTAGAGAAATTTAGCACAAAAAACACCCACTTCTGGGGTCATTTAGGTGGATTTTCCATATTCTCTGGCGCCCCTTGGGTCGATTTTGCTGATTGACATCTCTTTCTAACCGTCAGAGCCAATGGAATCGAAATCGGAACTCTCCCACATACTCCTTATTTGGTCAAGTGTGTGTGTGAGACTGCCGCATAGCCAAGACCGGAAGCTGCGATAACTCTGGTGGGCTACCATTAGCAGCTAACTTTTACTCTCCGATTTGTACATACAAATTGAATAATGGATTATAAATAAAAAAAATTATTGCCCAGAAACATTATCAACCTATGGATTAACAGATTCAGCCCGCGTTTTTTCTCGTTTTTATGCCATTGAAACACGTCTTTTGATCAGATTGAACAGCTACGGTGAGACGATCTCCCTAGAAGCTCCGTAAAGGTACGTGTTGTGATGTCTGTGTTTGCTTCCCCTGTCCGCGAGTCCGGATCACTCAGTGATGATACTGTATACCTAATAATCTGTGGAACCTCAGCTTTAATCGGATATCTTGTATGTGCAGCTACGATAAGTAATAAGGGTCTCTTTATCTTGAGTTCTGTGCCAAAGTGCGTTAGCTCTCAGAGGTCATTTAGATGCTTCTTATGAGACTTGTGTTTTGTTTTGGTAAAAATGGTTTGTATCGTCAGTTAGCTGAGATTATTCCCGTTAATCTGGTATACACCATTAATAGGTTCTTAAATATTAAGATCCCTGAGACACAGTGTCGTGAAAAAAAAAAAAAAAGTACCACCGCCGGTGGGGACCTTGGGGCTTAACAGGTTAATTAACGCACTGGCAGATGACAGCGCTGACAAAGTGTGCTTCCCGCATTGAGACGCTACAATACTAATTGTGGCTTATCATGTTGATTCGGCCACAACAGAAAAAAGAAAAATAAACTCTCGCTCTCCTCCAGAGGGGCAGGTCAGCCAAAAAGGCCAAACGGGCCGTTGCCTGGGAAACATTAGCCCGTACCTGTGCACGTCCCTGCAACAGTGGATAACAGCTTCTGGCCTGGACACAGTTTGCACCTCACCGTCACTTCCTGTCTATTCTTCGGACGAACTCAAAATAATGGGCATACCTCCACCCCTCGAAAGTTAGCGCTGACTCAGCCATGTTTATGCAGCACTGCACGTGGAGATGTGGACCGCGCAGATTACATACATATAAACCTGCGGGGGAAACCCCTCTTGTCTGTCAGTGTGATTATGACTGATTTTATAAAAGTAACGAAGTAACGCGTGTCCGGGGCAATGTTAGTGACTGTAGTGTGATTACTGAATTATAAAAGTAACGGCTTACACTACTCCGTTACCGACAAAAGTAATATTATTACAGCACCCAACTCTGGCGACAGGTACATTATATTTTAAGCTTTTTAAATGATAGGCAGTCTGTGTGTAAGAAGCCTCACCATGTGCAGAGGAAGGATGCACAGTAAGGGACACTGAAGTGGAGGACTTCTGAGGAGGAGAGGTGGATTGTAAAACTCAGACATGTGGTACACACTACAGGAGAATAGGGTAAACAATAAACTAGCAGATATCACCATGAAACCCCCCCCCCCCCCTCCCTTACGGACATTAACACAGTTATCTTTTACAGTTACAACTACTTTTCTGACATGTCAAGTTTGAATATGTTCATGAAGAGTTATCATGCTAACTTTTGAGGAGTAAGTTTTCCCTAAAGTGATGCAAACTGTGTGTGTGTGTGGGGTGTGTGTGTGTGTGTGTGTGTGTGTGTGTGTGTGTGTGTGTGTGTGACAAAAGACTGTAAAACTTAATCTGGATTTTGGATGTTTGAGTGGATTACAGAAAACTCATTAAGTCCCACTTTATTATTATTGATGTTAAGTATTATAACGTGTTAATCATATTATTTTGTATTACTCTGTATATTATATAACCATGTATTAAATGAACTTATCAGTTGTTTGTTAGAGGCCAAAGTTTCTCTCCTTAATTATTCTGTGGACGGCTGTCATCTGAATACATTGCATCATATTACTGGAGTCGGCCAACACCACACACCACACACACACCACACAACAACACAAAAACACACACTCACACACACACACAGCACACACACACACACACACAAACACACACACCACACACACACACACACACACACACTACACCACACACAATACAACACACACACACACACCATCACACACACACACACACACACACACAAACCACACACACACACACACAACACACACCACACACACACACAACACACACACAAACACACACACACACACCACACAAGGTGTTTGCCTCTCAGCAACATGATGCACGTCTGCATCCTAGCAGCAGACCTATAGTGTCCAGCTTCTTCAGAGTGGATCATTACAGGCGGGGGGCTTCCTCTCATCATGTCCACAGCTCTCACTAACAAGCTGAGTCACATACACTGTTTTATTGTTAGTACCCACATTGTGAATCTTTAAACGTAATTGTTGATGGTTGTTTCAGTTGTCTAACTATTGTCTTTAATAGTTGTCCTCATTATATTGAATGCTTTTCAAGGTTATCGTGCTGATCTGAACACAAGTAATAACATATGTAAATGTTCCTACACTTTCAGGCATGTAACCAGTAAGTCAATAATTATTCTGTATGAGTGTATTTATATTGTACTGATGTACTGAGAGTGTTGAATTCATTGAATATGTTATTCTTATGCAAGCTTATGCAAGCATTGATTAACATAGTGTATATGCTATGGATTATTCTCACTTACATTGTCCTTCTATGTGATGATGCTATGCTGGCTGGGGCCACGTTTAGCCTTTTTTTCAGGTCTTCTCTCCTTCCCTTTACCGGTTGGTCTATTGAATCACCTCTCTTTTTGCTTTAGGTGCAAACACAAACATTTCGAAATCTGAGTGAAATACTGTTTTCAAGTAAGTGAGAGATCGCCACGGATTGTGGTGCATGTAGTTTCTGAGAAGGTCTTAGTTTGTGTACACTCACTCTTCTTCGGGTTACTTGGAATGTTATAGTTACTATTGTCAGATCAGCTGTGAACGTTTGCCGTTCACATGCATGCAGGTTATTGTGGTTTTTCGTATTGTATGTGTTGAATTAGGGACATGTTGCAGTTATATTCCGTCCTTTTATCCAGATACAGAAAGCCTGAGTAAAGTCTGTGAAACTCCTGTTTGAATAACTGAGACAGGCCAGAGCTTTGTCTGCCTGTAGTGGTATGTGGAGGTGAGATATTCCCGCACAATATTTGTCCCGTACAACCCTAGGAGATTTTACAATTCACATGCATGCATGCAGGCTGATTTTGTATATTCATATAATATATGAATATTGAGTTACATACGTTGTTTAATTGTTAGTACCTGGCACAGGTAGATCATCATACTGTATACATGTGTATACTGCTCTCGCATGCAAGTATTTGGGCACATATATGTATTTAACATAAGGAAAGAATATATTCTCACTTATATTTGACTTACTCTCAAATGAGATGATATTGATTATTGTCTGCTGGTGACCTTTCCTTAAGTCTTGCTTCTCCTTTCTATAACTCTTGTTCTTTCTATGAATGTGTTTTCTGTTCACGGCCGACTTGCTAACATGAAGGAGGCAATGTGTACGAGTGTGAAATAATGTTTAAATCAATGCGAATTACCATCTTGGTGGTTCATGTAGTTTATGAGACTTTTTTCCTGCCCTTACATTTGTGTGCTTCTCTTCTACAGCTACCTGAAGCTAATTCAATATTGTCAAGTGCAAGTGTTAGGAAAGGTTGTAATTCACATGCACGCAGGCTTATTGTGTGTTTTGCATTACTGTCGGTGTTGAATTACGACATTTTCCTTTGAAACATTTCCCTTATTGTGATTTATATTCCCCTTCCTTCGCAGATATAGAGAGCCTGAATAAGTCTGTGAACTACTGTATGTGGAGGTGAGGATTTTCCCAGATGTTATATTTAACATGGTCACATACACTGTTGGAGATTGCATGCAGGCTGATTTTGTATTAATATCGAAATGTAGCTACAGCATCTCATTAACAGTTCCTGTATTGTTTCCTCTCTTTGGAGCAGACATGAAGAGCAAACAGCAGCCTGAACCCTCCCTACTTTCAGTTGACTCTGTTTGCAGACTTTGGGCCCCTCCGATACCTGTTCTTTCATCTTGTGTCTGTTCATCTATGTGACTATAGTCTCTGCTAACATGGTCATTATTCTGGCAGTGTTCCTGGAGAAGTCTCTGCATCAGCCCATGTATATTTTCATCAGCTGTCTGTGTGTAAACTCTCTGTATGGCTCAGCTGGATTCTTCCCCAGGTTCCTGCAGGACATCGTCTCTGACTCTCATTTGGTCTCACGTCCACTATGCTTTATTCAGGTGTATGTTATTTACACCTATGCTTCCTATGAGCTGACCATCCTCACCATCATGGCATACGATAGGTTCATTGCTATCTGTCAGCCCTTACACTACCACAGTAAAATGACCTTCAAATGGGTGCAGGTTCTTGTACTCGTTGCTGTTTTCTACCCAGTGTTTACTATTGGCTTCTGCCTCTATCTTACTGTTAGATTACCGCTGTGTGGAAACAAACTGAACCGGATGTTCTGCTCTAACTGGCCTGTGGTGCAGCTCTCCTGTGTGGACACCACTCTGAACAACATAGCTGGTCAGTTTGTCGTGGTGACGGCCATCTTCATCCCCATATTCTTCGTCCTGTACACATATCTACGGATTCTGCTGGTCTGCAGCAGGAGATCGTCTGAATTCAGAGGAAAGGCGTTACAAACCTGCCTGCCTCACATCATCTCCTTTTTGACCTACTCCATCTCTCTCTTCCTCGAGGTGTCTTTGAGTCGATTAGAGGCTGGTCAACTGAATCCAAGCATCGCAGTTATTTTGTCTTTAGCGTATCTGATCATTCCCCCCCCTCAATAACCCCATCGTGTATGGCCTGGGTCTGCCTCAAATCAAAGGAGTCGTGTTGAAGATTTTCTGAAGAAGGGTCCTGCTGCTGAAATATAAAGGAATATGTTGACCATGTTAGATTGTGTTTCCTATCATAATTATTTAAAGGGATACATGATTAGATAGAGATCAACATAAAGCACAACAACAATATTGTATATGATTGATTTAACTAGATTTGGCTTGAATTTCCCTCAAATGTTAAAATATCACTATTCTGTTAAATGTAATAGATTTAAAGTTAGAGCAACATATTATGTTCTGCCTCTTCATGCATATTTAAGGTCAATATTAAAATGTATTTTTTAACATGTCCTCATAGAAAGTAGATTTGACAGGAATTCAGGTGTACTGTATGTTAGGCATTGTGATGTTACACCACTTACTGTTGTATTGTGTTTTAATATTTTGTTGTGAAGCATTCACCCTTTGTTACTATAATGAAAATGTAATGATGAAGTAATAATTCAATAAACAACAGTCTACAGCCATGTGAGTCCCTGCTTTTTCACCTTCACTTAAATGAAATGCTATTGTTAGCCATTTGGAACATGTTTAACCTTGAAGCATGCTAACATTAGCTAATTATCAGTGCAGCTGAGGATTATGGGAATTAATAATCTATCAAGCTTTCTATGTTTGGCCCCCTGCCTTAACTTTAATGTTATACGTACAGTAAATTACAAAGGTCGGCAGTTTTTTGTCCTAAACGTTTGCCTTGGTGATCTATTTTTGCAAGAACATATTTTGTGAAATGTTAGTAAGATTGGTCACTTTCCATGCAGGTTTAGTGTGAATGTGCTGTTTTGAAAAGAAAGTGGTTTGCATTAACATTTGTAATGTATCTATGATAGAAGTAGAATAAACACTAAATAACCAAATATAATATCACAAAAGCGGGGCCTGAAACCTGACATTCACTTTTAAGACCAAACTGACAGTTTTTCTTGTGGTCTTGGGTCAAAATGTTTATTTTCAAAAATATATTACCTTCCACGAAATTACATATGGAAACTTTCAGGGATTGTCACTGTTACGTGCCAGGCAGGCTGTACTGGTGTGGTTTTCCTTCCCTCCTGTGTTTCTCTCTTCTCCCTGTCTTCTGCACAGCTAATCAGCAGCTGATCGGTATCTGCCTGTGCACCTGAGTCTGATGGCTGATTGGATCCTCTCCCCCTCAGCTGGCCTATCAGCAGCCAGGGCCGACCATAAAGGAGGCACCCAGGAAGTCTTCTCGCTCTCTCACTCTGGGCCTGTTGCTGATTGAGGAACCTGCAATTGACTGCAGTGTTTATCAACTCATGCTCCTGGTATTGTCTGACCCTTTTGAAAGTGTGTGTGTTGAAAGGTGGAGGAGTTAGGTAAGTCTGGGGTACCCTGTACATTTCTCACCACGTAGCTAACTAATGTTTAGACACACTAGGTTAGCGGATTGTTGCCACCCCTGTATATTGTTTTGTCAAAGTCTTCGTAGTTTAGTTAGTGAGGGTTTTTGTTTGAGTTTTGGTTTCAAAGGATAGATGTAGAGATAGGCCTGGTTTTGTTATGCTTGTTTCTTTTGTTTGGCGCAATCCTTTGACTCCTCCTCCTCCTCCTCGCCAACTAAAGTTTCAGTTATATGTCTGTTCGGTTCTGGGTTTACAAAATAAACCTTTTGTAAACTGTTACGCTGACTCCCGCATTTTTTATTGGTTGTATGTTATTGTCTCCAGGTCCCCTAGACCTTAGTGGGGACGTAACAATGGGGGCTCGTCCGGGATATCTATTTTCCTGAGCTAAAAACAACCAATAATTATGCGGGAGTCAGCGTTTGTTACGTCCCCACTAAGGGGACCTGGAGACAATAAAAAACAACCAATATTTGAGAAGTCATTGTAGGTGTTGTACATAGGCTGAAAAATGGGTTTTGACTTACAGGACTTTATTGAAAGTCCAAGTGTTGATAAGTTGTATTCCTGTCGCAAAGATGACATGTTATGTATTGCAGCTCACTTTAACATTTTAGTAGACAAGTATAAAGTAAAAAGAGAGAAAATCCTACAAAAACTAGAGGAGTTAAAGATTCTAGTAATCCCAAGCATGTCAACTCAGCCTAGGGCTGAAGAGTCTATTGAAGATGATAGGGAAAGTGTATTAGCTACACCTAGAGTTGACAAGTTTAGTCCTGAAGCTCCTTCTGCAACGCTTCCTAGGTTTGAGGCTTTCTCTCCGGGTAGCTTAGGTGCAAGTAGTAATGCCAAACTAAAAGTTAGTCTTGCCCGTTTACAGCTGGAGTTCCAGGAGAAGGAAATGGTGCGTAGAGCGGACTATGAACACAAACTGCAGATTCGCAAGATAGATGCTGAGAAATAAATCACGTTAAAGCGGCTTGAAGTTGATGCCCTGAGAATCTCTTCAGAGCAGACCTTTGAGAGGTCAATACCTTCGCATACAGTCTCTCACACAAAAAGTGTTGATGTTAGTAAAAATATTGCTTTGGTGCCAACTTTTAGAGAGTCAGAGGTTGACTCATATTTTAGTGCTTTTGAGAGAATTGCTACTGCACTAGTCTAGCCTAAAGACATGTGGCCAATCCTACTTCAGTGCAAATTAGTAGGTAAGGCTCAGGAAGTGGTATCTTCACTTTCTTTGGAAGAAAGCTTGCAGTACGAAGTGCTTAAAGAGTCGATCTTGCGTGCTTATGAGCTTGTGCCGGAGGCCTACAGACAAAAGTTCAGACACCATAAAAAGTCTGCTACGCAGACATTTGTTGAGTTTGCGCGAGAGAAGGGCATTCTCTTTGATAAATGGTGTGCGGCTAATGAACTGAAGGATCATTTTGAGAGTCTTCGTCAGTTACTTCTCTTGGAAGATTTTAAGAATTCTTTGCCTGAAAGGATGGTGATATTCTTAAATGAACAAAAGGTCACTTCACTGGCTAAAGCAGCTGTTTTAGCGGATGAATTTATGCTCACTCACAAGACTGTGTTTTCTTCACCCTTGCGCCCAGATAGAGCTTCAATATCACAAACCGGAAGACCTGATCTTGGCCCAACAACTTTTGAAAGGTCTAGAGGACCACCATAACCTCCACGGGGGACCCGTGAGTGTAACTACTGCCATAAAATAGGACACCTTATTTCAGGGTGTCATTTCTTAAAGCGTATGCAACAATTTTCGCAACGCTTTCAGACGCCAAAAGGCATGGGACTCATTAAAGGAGTTTCCCTATCAGACATAGAAATGTCCCTGGATGATGATGTACCTGATCCCTGTTCCAAACCGTTTATTTCCAAGGGCTTTGTTTCTTTAACAGGGGATCCTAAAGACCAGCTGCCAGTACAGGTACTTAGGGACACAGGAGGTTCTCAGTCCATTATTAGAGAAGGCATCTTACCTTTAACCTCCAGATCATCATGTGGATCAAGTGCTGTTGTTCAAGGGGTAGGCATGACACTAGTTGCGGCTCCTTTGCACAATGTTTATATTCACTCATCTCTTGTCAAAGGATTCTTTAAAGTAGTTGTCCTCCCTGCCTTGCCCATCAAAGGTGTTGATTTCATCCTCAGTAATGACTTGGCTGGGGGCAAAGTTAAGCCAGTCATTGATTCTCCTGATCTAAGTTTAGACGCAGAGAATTCAGCTGAAGTATCTCCAGAAATCTTTCCTGCTTGTGTTGTTACAAGGGCCCAGTCAAAGAAATATGGAGAAGACTTGTTTGATTATTTTCTTGCTACAGGGCAGTTTCTTGAAGACGTGACTGTGTCGGACCGACTGCCAGAGGAGGCCCGGTCTGCTGGTGCTGGATCACCCAGTAACAGCTCAGAGCTTGTACAACTGCCTGTCACTCGGGAAGAATTCATGGCAGCCCAATTAAGTGATGAAACACTTTCTAAATGTCTTTTTTCTGTTATCAGTCAGGAAGAGGCCAAGTCAAAGAAGATGGCCTACATTATGGAAGATGACCTATTAATGCGTCGCTGGATTAGTGATGCCTGTGAGGAGTCAGACTCCTTTGCACTTTATCAGGTTGTTGTGCCAACAGCCTATCGTTCTCAGGTGATGTCCTTGGCTCATGATCATCCGTGGTCAGGTCACATGGGGTTAACAAAAATGTATGAAAGAGTTTTAAAACACTTATTTTGGCCAGGACTTCAGTCTGATGTAGTTCTTTATTGTCGAACATGTCATGTGTGCCAAGTTGTTGGTAAACCGAATCAGGTGATTCACCCTGCTCCTCTCATTCCTATTCCAGTAATGGGAGAGCCATTTGAAAGGGTGATTGTGGATTGTGTGGGACCCTTGCCTAAAACTAAAAAGAGGAGGTACTGCACCAGGGAAGACCAAAGTGAGTCTTCCAAAGCTCACCAGGTGGAGACAACAGTTTCTCCTATGGCTTCAGTTTCAAAGGTGAGCTCAAATGAGGATGAGGATGAGTTGGTGATGCGCAGTGCAACACCACAGGGGGCAAGACTAAGCAATACTGAGGTATTGGCTGATTTGCCCAATTACTTGTCTCATCTTCCTTATATCCAAGGAAGTGATATACAGAAACTGATATTTGACTTTGCATGTCTTTTTAATGACACTCCCTCACAAACTTCTGTCCTAGCTCATGATGTGGTTTTGACCAACCCCTCGCCCATCAAACAGTGTGCGTACAGGGTTAACCCAGTTAAGAGAGAGGTTATGAAAAGGGAAGTTGAGTATCTACTTAAAAACGGATTTGCAAGGCCTAGTTCCAGTCCCTGGAGTTCCCCTTGTGTGCTAGACACAAAGTCAGATGGAAGTCCCAGATTCTGCACTGACTTTCGCAAGGTTAATGCTGTCACTGTCCCCGATGCACACCCATTACCGCTCATTGATGACTGCATCGATGAAATTGGTCCTGCACAATTTGTCAGTAAGCTGGACATGTTAAAGGGATACTGGCAAGTTCCTTTAACACAGCGTGCTTCTGACATATCAGCCTTTGTGACACCTGACAGTTT